AGTTATCATGTGATAAGCCTTCACACAAAAAATTAGCTCATTTGGACAAAGTTGTTTTATTTCATATCTTTTAATTAAATAATTAATTCATAAAAGCAAATAGTAAACCTTAATAACTTAGGTTTTGTTTGAATTTTTGATTGAGTGATGACCTTGGGTTATTAGTATAAAATAATTCTTGGTATTTAAAGTAAGTATTTGGGTTTATGAAAAATGTTTAGTTAGTTTTGACTTGTAACTATACCGCGAAGGAAAGTTGTATTCAAGTTAATAATTTTTGCATCCATCATCAAGCATCACGTTTTATATCTCGCATCATGTTAAACATGACATTGTTACTACGTGTAGTGAACAAAAGCGAGAACGTGGTAGTCAATCAAGTTGTGGAGGAAGTTAATCCGTCTGTTGAGGTCGGATTTGATATCTGTGGAACGTCTCCGGAACCTGACTTTTCCGTTAATCAAGGCAAGCCCCAGATGCATTTAAATCTACCTTGTACTTTACAAATTTATATCGCTTTTGTTTTTCAGTACTGCATTAAGTGATTAGGAGTTGAGTAAAAACCTAATTGATGCATTACCAACCTTTTTTTTCAATATCCACCTTGTTACCCGTTTTAATTCGAGAATGCCTAATTATGCTTAGCCATGCTTAGACCGATAAGAGTCGTGATTACCTGTCACCTGCGAGATATAAATAGATTTTGGATACGATTGGTTACTTATGTTATCATGAGATATGAGCATGTGGAGTAATAAATCTAGACCGGGCGGACTCGGTGTGTGAGAGCCACAAGACATGGTGGTCTTGTGAGTGGGTTCTTTTCGCCTGTGTCAATTAAGAACCGTCCGTTGTTGAATTGCATGAGGTGAGACTTTGTAGTACTAGCCACATACTCCGGTAAGCCTTAACTTGGCTATTCTATTACGAGAATGGCTACTCGCGCACTGGGAGTGGAGAGATGGCGAGAATAGCGTGTACCCACGTGGCAATGGGCTGGATTGGTAGAGTACTGTATTCTCGGGTGGCGCGGACCCGTTCTTGTTTTAGAGGATCTGAGGACAGGTTGGTATACGTAGGTCAGGGACCTGCATATGTCGTGTGGTTGGGAATCTCTAGCTGGATTTTGAATCGGTTTGAATCGTCGTTGCTCCTCGGTTATGGAGACTCAACTCACTGTTCATCATCGTAGTTAATAAATGAAACTTGAGCTGGATTTGAGAAAGAGTTTGATATGAAGTTCATGATCTCATTACGAATCATGGCAGATTCATATACTGTTTTTATGAAGATATAAATGTTAAAAGAAATAATCTTGATAGAGAGCTTTTACGCAAAAGAACTTTGTTTATTGCTAAAGCCATACCTTAAACCCCTAGCCTGCATTCCTGAGTCTTATTAATTTTTACTTCGGTTAAGTCTTGCTGAGTACTTTTGTACTCAGGGTTCATTGACCCTTGTTGCAGGTGAGCCTCATGAGCAGGTCTGCTTTGGACCGTGCTGCATGACTGTTGTTTAAATCGATGATGATAAGTGAATGTGTGACCCTTGGGTAGGGTACTTATATTGTGTGTTTTGTATTATGTTACTAATGCCACTCCACTACTATGGTTTGTAATAATAATCGTACTTAGTTTGTAAGGTTTGAAACAACTGGTTTGTAAACTAAGTTATTGTAAAACTTCCGCTTATTTTACTCTGATGTAGATATTTGAATAAATGTTGTAATACTGCAATGACTCTGTAATGGAATCCTGCTCGGAAGTCGTGGATGATTCGGGGTTCCCCGTGGACACCCGACAGTCTTCTTAAGTTATCGGGAACATATGCATAGTCGTGAGATGTCATTGGACAGTGACAGGTGCATGTGGGCCCTATAATTTAGGAGGTTCTGCCACATCAGTACCTTCCACAGCTGCTTAAAAATATGCTAATGATTAAACTCGAGGCAACACACCTTTATGGTGATATTGTTTTAGATTTATGCAGGTGTAATTATTTTGGCGTGTGGTCCATGTTCAAGATTACAAAATCAATGTTGTTACTGCTGCATCTCATGTAGCTTGCACCTGTTTGGGTATATATGTTTTGATGAATAGAGTGCACTTTTGCTTGTCATCACATTTTTATTTGCAATCTTATGCATGTATCAAATGACAATACAGGCAAGACAGCACCTTCATGTGTCAAGTCGGCAAGACAGCACCTTCATGTGTCAAGTCACACAACGCCCAATAGCACATCAAAGCAGAAGGGAAACTTCTCATGCTTTCTTCAGAACGAAGTTCCTATCATGATGGAAGAAAGGGACGATTTTACTGGAAACTTTGACAATGATAATTTGTCTGACAGCTTCAGTGAACCTCAAACTTCAGATACTCTGTCTATAGGAGCTCAAAGAAAATTTAATATAACAAGTGCACCATCATCATCAATTCGACAAAGTACCCTGGATTCTCTATATGAATATGGTGAAACTAGTAGCAGTAGGCATGAACCAGAGGGAAGAAAAGAGCTAGACAACGTTGAATTAAGGGAGACTTCAAGAAGCTTGCTTTCATGTGATTTGTCTGGACAGGAACTAGCTTTCTGTACTCAGGAGCAAGTTGATAAATGTAGCCTTGGCACTCTAGCTGATGATGAAATGGAAGTTCATAACAAACCCGTGGAAAAATCATCTAATTTAGAAAGGTGAGCAGAATTATCATGTGTCATATGCTGGACGGATTTTTCTTCTACAAGGGGCATCTTACCATGTGGACACCGATTCTGTTATTCATGCATTCAAGGATGGACAGATCGTCTGGTATGTATTAGTTTGATTCTTGTTTCTTGACCTTTGCTTATATTATTTGTTTTCCAAACATGCAGGAGAGTTGCGTATCATTATATTAAGAAGAAAACCTTTTGCTTATATATTATGTTCTCCATGTACGTGCTAAATGTTTTAGAGACATGTCTGTTGCCCTACTAGAACTGATTTGTGTTCTTGAACCTGGTTTGGTTCAGACTAAGACAGTTGAGAATGTAGTAATGCAGATTCAAGATAGCTTTATAGCATAACTGAAAGAAACGAAACCAACTTATAACATGTAGGGAACACGACTAAGAAGTCAAAAAAAAAAGCAACACAACTAATACGTTCCATCCAATCAATGGCAAGTCTTGGGCCAAGGGATTAGCAATAATCTCACTTTGCTATAGTTTATTTATTATCTAGTTTTTTTCCACCACCATTAGTGTTCAACAAGAAATGCTTATTCAATTATTCTTAGAGCTGCATCCTGCGTTTCAGGCTTCTAGTGGTAAAGTCTCAACATGTCCCCTTTGCAAAGCCAATTTCACAAGGATCAGTAAGATGGAAGAGGCAGGCACTTCAGATCAGAAGATATACTTGCAGACCATTCCTTGTGAATCTTCTACTGATGTTTTCCTGTTTGGCAATGAAGGCTACAATTTATCGCGATCAACGGTATGATCTTATTATTTCATGTCTCCATGCTGCTTAAATCTATTTGGATCTGCAATGCTTATCCCTCCTGTAACTGAATCTGTCGTCTATTCTGGGCAAGGAGCATGCTACTGATGCCACTTCCGTGAGCCTGAGGAGCTTCTTCTAAGCTGCCACGTCTGCAGATCACAGTGGGTACACTCGTACTTCCTTGATCCTCCACTGACCCCGTGGACATGCATGCACTGTAGAGATCTGCGGATGCTATATCACAGATATCGCTAGCCTGAAACATTAGGATAGTCATGTCATAGCCCTATTTGTATGAATTATGATTTGTTTCTTACCGGAGGTATGTTGAGACTGTTGAAGGAAATTGTAACAGAAGGCATGATGGGCATCTGGGCTTGTTATTTGGTGACAAATTCTTACTGAAGAAGTTTGCAGTGTAGTTGCAATTAGCACAAACCGTGTTGAGCTATATTACCAAGTTCCATACCTTATTGAACTCCAGATGTTAATCTTCTTTGCAACCTTGCATTTCCACCAGATCCTCTTTTCCCTTTCCCTTAAGATTTGCTATAGGAGATTGAGAAAAATATGATTTGTGGTTTTAGGAGAGTTTTGTTGTAGCAGATTGAGAAAACTCATCCTCTTTATTGAAGTGGGAATCTCCTTTTTTTTTGGTTTAAGCCTATGATATATGTTTGTTTCGATGGCCTCTGTTTTTTCATGCCCTGGAGTTAGCGGTGGTTAGAGTAGAGGATGAGATATTTTCTACAATGGCAGGTGTCGTTAACCTTGTTGGAGGCATTGTCTTTTGAGTTTTGAACCTGTGCCTTGTTTGTCCCTCATATAGTCTGTATTGGTTGAATGGACAATCATAGCGCCTTGTGTGTTGTTTCCTCTTGGAGGCATTGTCTTGGTTTTCTCCACGCCACCTTTGCTGGTGGGTTTGGCACTGGTTGTCGACTTCCTCTGCTTGTTCATCAGTCATCGTTTGTGGAACCTTGTTGCTGCTCTCATTTGCGAGCTCTTGTTGGTGGCTTAGTCATCGCTGGTGGAACTAAGGTTTCTACTCTCGGGGCTCTCTGTGTTGCCTGGCCTTTGTTGGTGGTGCTGAGGCGATTACTCTATCATCATAGGTTATTTGATGTTTGGTCGTTTTTTTTTTTTTGACCCAAGGCCTAGGCCTTCCTTATTGGGTCATTGCTTCTTGGTCGTTGCTTATAGAGTTGTGGTGGATGTGCTTGGTCATTGCTTATGGAGTTGATGTGGCTGTTCTCTCGCTGCTAGAGATCTGGTTATTACCTGATCGTCGCTTTGGTGCTATGATGGCCCTTTCTCATGTCATGAATGCCTTGTTGTGCATGAGTAGTTAACTTCATCGCTCCACAAAGTAGGGAGCATCCATACAATAAAACGTCAAAGGAGCGATCAAAGCAACCAAAACCAAAACCTTAAAACAGAGTAACGCAAGTGCGAAAACAAAGACGCTGAACTGAATCCTCAAGCGAAGAGTGGCATATGGTCGAACACCTTGCGTGCGTCACAGCCCGGCGTGGCCGTCGCTAAGATCCTTGAGCCGCGCGGTCGCTTTCCCCGCGTCGATCGAGTACTGCAAGTGCAAGTCAGCCTTGCTTGCTTAGACAACTAAATCGGTGGAGGTGGGCTTGATGCGGGAAGGTTGAGATTTGAGAAGGGAGCAGCCATGCCCATGCTAGTAGATAGTACTACGTACCTTGGAGAGGACCCATGTGGAGTGGGTGTATGCGCGGCGGAGGAGGGCGGCGAGGTCGTCGTCCGCGGAGAGGTCGCGGTAGTTGACGAAGTTCTCGCGGGCGTACTTGGCGTAGTAGGGCCGCGTCTCCGCCGGCAGCCGCCGCACCAGGCGCAGCACCTCACGGTAGGCGCGCAGCCCCGCGTTGGCCATCGTTTGCGGCAGTGCGTCTACGTGGGCGGTGTGCCGGAGGAGGAGGCGCGAGCTGCTGATTGCTGCGGGTATGCACTATCGTCCAAGCACAAGCACAAGCACGGTGCCAGCTCGCATCCGCCTGAACCCCCTTTGCCTAATTTCGTGGATCTTAAACCATTGTTTCAGGAGTTCTGCACGCTTGGCTTCAGAAAGGTTGTCCAACATGGTGCACAGGTCTAGCAGTTCGAAATGCCATGGAAAAAACACAAAGAACAGTTCCTATGTGGCTCTGGGCTATGTTCAGATGCCGACTTCATTTGGTCATATGCAAATGGCCGTGATAGCCCACTGATAGCTGATTGGCCATTTGATCAGTAAAATTTGCATGCTCGAGACTTGGTTTGCTGTCTGACAAACTCAACCGGAGAACGACTCAAATCAGTCTGGAATTACAGATAAAGCAGGAGAGGAAGCAGGTCATGTTTTGCTCTATATGGATTTCGATTCCCCTTCGATGGTCCGAAGCATACATCCTATTTTATTTAAAGAAAGTATAGTAGTAAATCTACCAAAAGGCCACAACTGAGAATACATTGTATGGGGAGAAAAAGAAAATCTGTTTCGATCCCGAAGAAGCCCGACGATCCTTGCGGCGATCTGACACCGTCCTCTCCTCTCTAGGAGGACTGCAGCTTGGAGCTGGTGTTAGGGCCGGCGGAGCAGGAGGAGCGGAAGGCGCCTGGCACTTGACGCGGTCGCCCTTGTTCTCCTCAAGGCACCTCCGCAGCGCCTCGACGTCGCACGCCGCCGCCGCCGCCGCCGGCCTAGGCTGCGTCTTCTCGTCCCTCCCTCTACCGCCGGCAACCGAAACAGATGGCGCCGCCGCCGCTTCCATGGTGGGTCTCTTGCTCGGCGCCTGTAAGAAATTTAGATATCTAACCCGTTATTCGCGCGCCTCTTTTAATATAACCCTCAATTCACATGTCTTTGAAAAATGACCCATGTCCTGCGAATTGTTTTGAAATTTAATCTTTTCAAGGATTTCTCTATTTCTGTAATTTCAAAAATCATCTTTCACTGTTTGGGACGGGAGAAAAGACATCATTACCCCTCCTTGTTTACTCATTTAGCGCCATGACGGACTCCCACACACCCACGGCATCTGCTGCTGCACGCCGCATCGGTCACGGTCAGTCCGCCTCCCGCCCGCCTCCACGCCACGGCCCAAGACCACACCAGCAAAGCCCTCCTCCCGCTGCTCCTCCTCCTCGCGCCTCCCTGCAGTTCCTCCTCCCGCTGGCAGCTACGCCTCCTCCTCTCGGCAAGGAAGCTAGGGTTAGAGGGGTTTCATGGCGTCCACCACTGGGCGGCCCAGCGCCGGCCCATTGGATCATGCGATCAAGGGGCTGCCTCCACCTCCACCGCCCATGGCTCCAGGGTAAGAGCCCCAATCTCCTCCCTCTGTACTGTATGTTTAGGGTTCCTGTTGATTTGGGGGCACAATCTAAATTGTGTCTCTTTTATTTTTTGTTGGTATCCGGTAGAATCGATTCGGATCTGGATGGGGAATTTAGATTGTGTGTTCAATTTTCTCCGTTCACAACTAAGTTGGATGATAGCCGCTCTGTTGATGTGCTACGTAAATGTGATGAATGGGTTGTTGATTGTCGATTTTATAATCTAGAGATGCTACTCGGAGATTTGGAAGCTAGGGTGAAGTGGGAGAAATTTAGATATCTAACCCGTTATTCGCGCGCCCCTCATAATATAACCCTCAATTCGCATGTCTTTAAAAGTATGACCCATGTCCTGCGAATTGTTTTGAAATTTAGTCTTTTCGAGATTTTCTCCATTTCTGTAATTCCAGGGGCTCTCTTCACTGTTTAGGGCATGTGAAAAGACGTTACTGCCCCTCCCTCATTCCAGGGACACATGCCTAGCCACTCAGATGCGTCCCAAGTGGTGTAATCTCCTTCCTAGCCTATTCATTTTTCTTCCCAGCTCCGTCCCATGCTCCTAAAGACTAATATTTTGCACAGATCAAATATATATGTTCAAAATAAATGTAAATAACATGTTTTACACGATAAAAACAGCCATACAATTTCACCATAAATAATAAAATCAACTGCACAATTCCATCATAGATTTAATATTAGTACACGTTCACATACAATTTAATAAATAGGTTCATGTCAACAACTCAGCCATCTAGCCAATCTGATACGACTACAAGTTCACATAGTTCACATAAAAATAGCCATACAAAAGAGAGTCATCCAGCCAATTTAGGACCACAAGTTCACATGCACAAAAGATGGTCGGGAATCTTAACAGATAAAAGTCTCATGACATTAAAGGAAGATTATTCAAGCATCCATGTTCTTCCCCTTCCTTGGAGTGAGTTTTTTCTTGAGACCTAGCCTCTTCCTTGGACTCTTCCTTGGAGTGGTCATTGTATTACTTGGCCCTTCTCCAGTTTCACTACATATCATAGGTCAATGGGATGGTTCAGTACATGAGATAAGATGCACACATGTCACACACAATGAATGATTTTTACCTTATTGTAACTGCTATGGGGCTTGTAGTGATTTGATTTGTCCCTCCAAGTTCCCCCATTGTTAGTTGCAATTGGCTAAAAAATGAGAAAGGTTAATTGCAATAGGTTAAAAGAGACTAGTGTTGATTTTAGTTTTCAGGAATCACCTTTGCCTCCTTGTAACAGGTCTAGGACTAGTGTTGATTTCACTTGTGCCTTCTGCCACTACAACCTTCTGCCTTTTGGATGGACTAGGAGTTGCGTCACCTTTGCTACAACCAGCAGGTCTCCCTGCCTTCCCTTTCTTGACTCGACTTTTCCTGTATAAGAAAAATTGAGGTGAATACAAAATATTCAGCAAGTATGCATTATTTTAAAAAGGCATACACATTTACCTCTTCTTTGTTCCATTAAAAGGGCACTTTGGAGAGTTAGTCCTATGGCCAAGACCCAAGCAATTTTGACACTTAACCTTCCACATGCCTTTGCCCCTAGGCTTGCTTCCCTTGTTCTCTAGGCTGCTAGGTTTTCTATTTTTTCATTGTCTTCCAACATCTCTCTTATCTAGTGGTGGCATCACTTTGAATCCAAGTTCCACACGCACCCACTGAGATTTATCGGGCAGTGGTTTGATCAAACCACCATAGGCTAGTCTAAAGCAACGTACCTTTGAATAATAAGGATCCAAGTAGTCTTCCATCTTAGCATTTCTACAAGTGATGATGAGTGCCAAAGCATGTGCACATGGTTTACGACACTTGCCACTCCTGCAGTGCATACATGGTCCTTAATATTCACCACATGTCTTATGATCTTGTGTGAAGCGGTGACCTCTCGAGACACATGCTTCATCCCTTCCACACCGCTACGTGTTCAAGTGACCGAGTTGCCGGGTCATTGCATATAGCTGGCGTACAACAAGTGGCAGCATTACATGTCCTTCAAATTTTTCACCTATCCTTCTCCTTCTTGCATAAAGTTCCATGAATTTGGACCTCAGTTTGTCTGCAAGGTCAACCACTGGAAGGTCCTTAAGGTCTTTCACCCAATTATTCCAAACCTCTGCCACATTGTTGGTGATATGATCACACTTTATTGCCTCTGAGAATTGGCTCCTCATCCACTTTAACTTGTGATTGGCTTTCAACCATGGCTCAACATTCTTGTTTACTTCATACATCTTCTTTATCAAGTATTCATGGTATTCTGGTTGAAAAGTCCTGGCTGCAGGATACATTCTCCCAAATGCAGGCCCTTGAAACCTCTTGCTAAAATTCTTCATCAGATGAAACCTCTTGCCCATGGCCGGGAGCGCTCCCAGGCGCAGGTGGTGGTGGGATGGAAGTGCAACCTCTAGAGGTTGAAGACACAAGTGGACGCGTGCGGGCCGTGCGGTTGCAACGCGAGCCACCGGATAAGGTATAGGGAAAGAAAAAAAAAAAAAAAGAAAAAAAGAAGAAAAAAAAAAGAAAAGAAAAAAGAATAAGGGTATTATAGAGATTTCACCCTTTCTAACTACCAGGAGAAGTTGTTTTGCCAAACGATCCCAAAAACAGCTCTGTCTTCCTAGATGAATCTACTCCACAAGTGAAGCCACGACTGGAATTGTTTTAGCTGGAGCCGAAACTCTACCAAATGGGTCCTTCCATTTTGGATCAGTAAAAAGTAACATCAAATTGACATGGCACGGGCGCCCCGTGACTTCCCGTTTGGACGTGGCTCATCCTCATCTACTTGCCCGCGTCACTTGCGTGACTTCCTCTCCGGATCTCGTGGCTCATCCTCATCCACTCGTCCCGCCGCCCATCGCTTGATGATGCGCGCCACATTATTGCGGTCCCAGGATGGATTTTGCCCGTTTCTAACTTTGTTTTGCCAGCGCCGCCAAAAAGCAGCGCCCCCCTCCTCCCGAGCCATTCACCGCCGCCCTTCCACCATCGAAGCCATTCACCGGCTGCCCCCGTGGCTCACCTCATCTACTTGAGCCGCTCAGGGCGCTTCCCCCCGGCCTGCCTCCTCATTCGTCGGCTCCCCTGTGCTCCATCCACTGCGCCGAGGTCCGTCTTTGCTTTCGCCGAGCTTCACGCCGCGCGACCCACGTGACGTACTCTGTGGCATCGAGCACCATGCCAGTGTCGAGCTCCACAACGACGAGCTCCATTCGTCCAAGCAGCAATGTGATATTGCGCTTGCGCTAAAAGCGCATGTTGCAAGCGTATGTTTCAAGTAATTCATATGTCTCAGAGGTATGTTGCAAGGGATGTTTCTAAGTATGGATGTTGTAAAAGTAAATCGCGATGTTATATATGTTGCAATGGTTTTACACGTATGTTTCAAACGTCTGTTCCCAACGTTTCACCTATTTTTTCAGACGTATGTTGCAAGTGTGTTTATCTGGATGTTGCATATGTTTCATACATATGTTGCAAGCAGTATATTTGGATGTTACGTATGTGTTGCAATTTTGTTTTCAAGTGTTTTTTTTCCAGGGTGTTTTTGCAAGTGTTTTAGATGCGTGTTTTAAATGTTTCATCTATCTTCAGACGTATGTTGCAAGTGTTGTATCTGGATGTTTCAAAAGTAGATCGAGTGTTGCATTTCTCTCCTCGCTTTCTGTTGCCTCGCCTTCTGCTGCCTTGCATCCTTCTCAGACTGCGAAGGGGCATAGCGAGGGCCGGCAAAGGGGGTGCTCCGGGGGCTGGCAGACAGGACGCGTCGGGGGATTGCGGCGCGAACGCGAGCGCACGTTGTCCCCTTCCATTGGCTGGGGACTGGGAGATGCGTCCGGATGTGCTGCGGGCGCCGGATGTCTGGACGCTAGTGCCCCCGTTAGATTCAAGGCTAGTTTGGCATAATTCCTCGCGGGTTCGGTTACTCTTAATGCAAACAATGTTGTGCAAACTATAGCATAAACTATTTCTGACTCCTTTCTCTGGTGTAGCATGGGCTCTTCTAAGTATGGCCTTATAAAACTGAGGCAAAACCTCGGAGCCAATATCTCATTTTTGAATTTTTTTCTAGTGTTTGTGCATGTGACCAAGGGGATGTTGAATTCGAATGTTGTTGGTTGTCCCTCCTTCCATTTAAAATTATGGTTCACTTTAAGTTTTTTTAAGGCATACATGTTTAGTTTTGATCAATCTTATAACAAAATGCACCAAATTTACAATATCAAATTTGTTTCAGTAACTTTTCTATGTAAAGTATATGTAGCTTCTGCCTGGTCAGTAACTTTTCCATTTAAGTAGCTTCTGCCTGGTCTGAACTTGACCCTCCTGCGGCTTCTGCCTGGTCTGAACCTGACCCTCCTGCGGTCGGTCCTCATCTTAATGCCTACACCACACCTCCAACCTTGGTGCCATCACCGCTGAACCTGCCAGAACAAAGATCTTCAACCAAACTTGAGCATGGACGGTGAGTAAGGGGTTGTGCATTGCCGGATCTGTCCTGCCTCCTCTGCTCTGTCCTCCGCGGTGGCCAAATCCGTTCGTTTCTATAAATACGATCAAACTTAAAAATGTTTGATTTAAGATAGCTTCAGAAATTGATTTATTCCTAGGCTCTGGGAGTATATACACATGGGACGACCCGGTGGATGAGTTCAAGTCAGAGAGAGCTGCTGGGCGAGGCACCACGATCAGCTAGCGATCAAGCGGGTTAATTTACTTGTTGATTCATATTGTCCAGTCGGTCCTGCTCCTGTAGTCCTGTCCTACGTACTAGGTAGATCTATCCTGCTAGCTTGACTTTTGAAGGCCAAGTCATCACATTTATTTGTGTTCCGACGAGAGACGTTGGCCATCTTGCTCCCGGTCTGATCCCATTGCCAGCTCCACGTGCATTCGTCAAGTAGAGGCACGCCCGCACAAGTGAAGGAAAAGAAACATAGTAAATTCTCCTGTCCCAAAATAAATGTGTTTTTAGGATTCTTAGATTAGAAGAGATCAATGATACTTAGGAATTACATATTTACACATATGAAAACCTATTTCAGCATATAATGGATGTATTTTAAAATTAGAGAGAGGAAAAGAAGCCTACTATAATTAGGTGGATCACACCTATAAATACAATTATTTTGAGACAAATTCCAAATGCTAGAAGTGCATTTGTTTTAATTAGGACAGAGGAAGTATAATGATAGGACATCAAGTGACATGCTTGGTAGATGCATTGCATATGACAAACTGCAGGTATTGAGTATTGACTAATGACCAGTAGAAGCTACTAACTACCTCAAAACATTATGTTTTATTAATAAATAAGACTCTACCTTCCTCTCAAAAAAAGGTACCGTACGTTCAATTGATTATTAAGGTAAATCATCAGGCAGTCGTGACAACAATTAATCAAGCTAGTATTAGCACTAGAAGCCTAGCTATAAGCTACGTCTATGCAAAGAAGTTTGGTTTCACGTACTAAACTTTAGTCTCTGACACATCGAATGTTTGGACACTAATTTAAAGTATTAAATATAGACTAATTACAAAGCTAATTACACAGATTGAGACCAATTTACGAGACGAGTCTATTAAGCCTACCTAGTCTATAATTCGACAATGTGGTGCTACAGTAAACATGTGATAATCATAGATTAACTAGGCTTAATAGATTCACCTCACTAATTAGTTTACTTTTATGTAATTAGTTTTATAATTAGCTCATGTAAAAGAAAAGAAAGAAAAGAAAAAATAAGGGTATTATAGACTTTTTACTCTTTTGGCTACCTGAATAAGCTATTTTATCAAACGGTTCACAGAAAAGGCTCTAGCTCTCTAGGAGAAGCTGCTCCTTCACAAGAGTCGAAACCAAAGCTGTTTTAGAGGAGCTAGAGCCCTATCAAACAGGCCCTATATTTCAAGAGTATATATGGGCTCTTAAGTGTTAGGTCTCAACTTGCATACATAGCCTACAAAAGTTAGACTGTTTTCGGCAGAGGACAGTGGTAAATCTAGCAAAAACACGATTAGGATCATCGAGGTCAACTTCATTATGTGATATAAATTTTATTAAGCTTGAACAGTAATTTACTAATAAGGATTATAAATTTCATGGGGTCAACGGACCCAATGAGGAGGAGCGGGACGGAGGCATGGTGATCCATGGCTCCAGTCAAGTCAGGTTATAGCGTTTGGCGCAATGCAATTGCAAGTAGCTGTATGTGTGACGACGAAAGGAAGCACATATATATATATACACACTGTGTATATGATATGACAGAGTACAGGCACAGCATTCAGCCAACTAAAATATGTTAGCGATACCCATGGACCGACCGATGGGTCCAAGAAATAACACATCGATCAAACAAATGACGTGCGTAAAAGAAATAAATCGTCCCCATTGGTCGTTTGGTTGACCTGATCGACCCTGCAGAGAGATAGATCACCTAGGGGGTGTTGGGTTTCAGGGATTAATTTTTAGTCTCTGTCACATCGGACGTTCGGATATTAATTAGAAGGACTAAACATAAATTAATTATAAAACTAATTACACAGATGGAGACTAATTTACGAGATGAATCTATTAAGCATAATTAATCTATCATTAGCGCATATTTACTGTAGCACCATATTGTCAAATCATAGCCTAATTAGGCTTAATAGATTCGTCTCGTAAATTAGTCTCCATCTATGTAATTAGTTTTTATAATTAACTCATGTTTAGTCCTCCTAATTAACATCCGAAACGTCACATGGACTAAAAATTAGTCCCTGAAATCAAACACCCCCTTAATGATTAATAGTTATACTACACTGCGTACATGCTAGTCCATATGGCATGCAACATTGCAACAACCACTAATTGTAGTTGCAAGTTAATTAGTTCCATATATATAATAAATCAAATCATGGCCTTGGCTACGCCGTCAGTGATGGTGATAAATTAATGTATGTATAGGGGCACACGGTGCTTCGGTTAATTTCAACACACACTCATCAACGACACGCGTTATCATTCCGTGGAAACAAAAACAAAACACGATGAAGCAGGCGAGGCATATGCATCGTCGTCGTCGTCGTGGAATATCCCATCCATTATTCCTCCATATACCTAGCTTCGATGGATAATATAATGGCCGCATTATATATATTGCATAATTAGTGACTGACGATCATATATTATATATATAAGCATCGTATATTGCCAGCTTGTTCGTCCTCGTCCACGTAGAAATTTAAAATGCATTGCATAAACTATAGTATATATATTATAAATATACTTGTAATAACGCGTCGTTGCAATTAATTGGAGAACAAACGTTGCAGCTCCAAGCTAGTGTTGACCCTACCAAGTGTCTGTTTAGTTCCCAAAATTTTGTAAATTTTTTTAAGATTTTCATCACTTTGGATACATGCATGAAGCATTAAATATAAATAAAAATAAACTAATTACACAGTTTAGACAAAATTCACGAGACGAATCTTTTAAGCATAATTAGACTATGATTGAGACACTAATTATCAAATAACAACGAAAATACTACAATACTATTTCCTAAAAAAATTTCACCAACCAAAGCCCAAACAGTAAGCACCCATCCAAGTACAACGACAGGATGGGATCAGCCTCGGAATACGTGCATCACTACCAAGCCTCCAACGCAAGCAAGCAGCTGAGGTGGAGAGAGCAGAATCAATGACTAGATGCAGGTATATATTCTCCCCAGGCCAGCTTCGTTCCTGCAGGCACTGTTGTTGACCGGCAAGAAAAGTACAAAGACAGGAAACTTCCGCGAAATTAAACTGTTATTGGTGTCTTAATTCAATTTCCCACGACCAACAACCATCTTTCCTTTCTTAGGGTCCTCGTTTGTCTGAATTTTGGAGGAATCTAGATGATTTAAAGGAATATTAAGGAATTTGTAAAAGAAAAATACGGTTTCGAATAAAAAAATAAACGGATCAAACGAATCAAGCCGGGTTTAAAGCCTTAATTTGCAAAAATGTAGCATCTTCTTCATCTCTACTATAATGGACCAGTCCAAACGAAATTATACTAGATCCCTACAAAAACATTCTCCGCTGAAAACATCCAACCATTACATACCAAAAAAAAAACACACGAATTCAACACCTTTAAAATTAAAAGTTAATCAAACACCTTACCCAAATCCAGTGAGCACAATTCTACGTGGGGTGCCAGGTTTCTGGCCCCGCATTCTCACCCCCGCCCCCTGCTCGCACTTCAACGCGTAAACGCTCCTCCCCGCACCCGTACGGCGCGGCGCTCAGGCGGCGAGCGTTCGATTCCCATCCTCGGGCCCCTATTTTCTTCTCTTCCGCGAAAAAAAAACGTCGGGCTGCCTCTGTTGATGCCGCCGGTATCACTTCGCGCGTGGGATCCTTCGCCGACGTGGGCTGCCACGGCCCTGGCCGCGCGCCACCGGCGCCAGCACCCGCAGCCTCGCCGTCACCCGCACCAGCGCCAGTGATCCTCCCCTCATCTCCGCTCCGTAGTACGCGGCGCCCCTACCCCACCGAGATCTGCGGCGTACGCGGTTTTGGCGATGGCGGTCCGGCTCAGTACGCCGACCATGAGCTCGACGCCGGTGTTGGCGAAGGCCTTGATGACGTCGATGTTGCTGTCGTAGATGCGCACGTACTTGATGGACTGTTGCTGGATTAGCTGCGCCACCTTGTCCGGCGCCGGCAGGTCGTCGGCGTTGCGGCCGTAGCAGACGCCAATCTTGCCGCCGTGGCATTGCCCTGCGATTGCGCATGTGCTGTTTTGATTACCACCAACGCGAACAGAGAAAATGCAGTGATTGGGCTTTAAAAGTTCTTTTTTTTTTTGTAAATACAGCGATAAATCTTCGGTTCTGGGTTTTCGATGGAAAGAAAAGAATATGGTGCAGGGATGTAGATTCAAAAAAGGGAGGAAGCAATGAAATGGAACATCCCCTAAAAATGCTCAAGAACACGCAGCAGAACATCAAGACCAAAGAGCAAGAAGAATCGAATCGTGTCCTTTTCCTCGAGCAAGCAAGGCATCTCGCCGTCCACGCATTGCTAACAACACTAACAAGTGCGCAACTGAAGCTGAAGGGTCGTAACATTGAAGAAAGACAGGCTACTTGCAACTCACCGACTAGCAATAAGAAGAGGAGGATAGGGAGCGCCAGCATAAGCCGCCCCGCCATTGCCGACCAAGCGCCGAGCCCTGGCACCGGCGCCACTTCTAGCCCTCGGCGTCCGCACTCGCAACGGTAATGAGTGGATGGGCTGCACGGCCGGGGCCTCACCCTTGGGGTTGGGGAGGAGATGTCAGACGTCAGAGGTGGAGAAAGAGAAAGAGAGCCGGAGAGGGGAGGAGTGAGAGAGACTGAGAGAGTGAGGACAAGACGAGACAGGCAGGGCACGGGAGCACGGATGACGAGCGCAGCCGCTGAGCCACTGGCTGCGACGCAGGCAGAGCAGGAGCCAGGAGGGGCTGCTGGAGTGAAGTGCGTGACGGCTGTTGCGGGTGCGGACGCCAGCCGGGGGCTATGAAATGGAGCTGAGGGCGTTTAAACAAGGCCGGCTCAAGTCCGGAACGCAACAGAAGAGAAACGGAAGGCCGAGGAGTAGAAAACGGAATGTCTGCTGGTAGGGAGGTTCTCGCATGGACCAGGACCACACGAACACAAGGGGACCCACATGTCAGTTGGGGGGCCTGTAAAAATGTCTTTGTACGATGAGAGCCGTACTATATTTATATTGCTTATAAAGAATAAAAAATGCAAAGCATACAGTTTGGTTTTTTTTTACCGATTGTAGTTTAAGCTGCCGATGTCCAAAAAAATACGAGTACTCCGTACAAGAATCAAGATGCAAGCCTCAGATGTTTGCATACTGCGAGTGTGCATTATGCGATTCTTTAACAGAAGTGAAACGACAAGAGGTGAGAACGAAGCAGCGTTTTTTTTGAAAGCATATGGCTGATAAGTTATGCCTGAAAATATTGTTAGTCGATTTTAGATAAGAACAAAGAGATGGATCATGATTGTTTCAATATAGCAATTCGGATGGCTACGCAGAACAAATTCTTGTTGATGAAGAATCAAAAACAAAAATACCACTTTATGGATCTCCAGTTTGTTGTATGTTCATCTAATTGTTAATTCTATAATTAATCAAATACTTATAAATTTTGCAAAATCAACGGTCCATGACCTAGTTTGGACGAGATCCGCGATGTTGTGGCAAACTAGACCACAAGAAACTGGCAAAAGTGCTCGAGTGCTGGCCTGACATGGAATACAAAATTAAAGATTGCAGCAATGTAAGATATATTCAGTGTACTCCTTTATATTTTATTTATATATATTATATTTTTTTAAAACACTTATATTATATGTCTATGTTTTTAGATTCTACTGCCATATTATCGAGATGGACTATATACTTTATTCATAATGGATATGTAAAAGAAAATTGTGCACATTATGGATCCACTCCCAGATGATGTATGTCACAGGGTTATGATCAAATCATGCCATATATAGCTATGGCCTTATTTAGTTACCCAAAAATGCAAACTTTGGCACTATGCAAAAAGAAGATTCCCCATCACATCAAACTTGCGGTACATGCATGGAGTACTAAATGTTGACGAAATCAAAAACTAATTGCATAATTTGGTTGTACTTTGCGAGACGAACGTTTTGAGGCTAATTAGTCAACGATTGGATAATTATTACCAAATACAAACGAAAAGCTACAGTGCACTACAGTGCTGGTGAATTTCAGGCGGCGCCGATTCAGGCGGCAACTAAACGCGGCCTATATTTCACACTATTGCTAAAATGTTCAGTCTCGCTATGAGACTGATAAATTCTAAGTGGGACGGCAATATTTATTACTGGAAGCGAATATTCCATGCATGTGTTACAAAAGTTCCAAAACATAAAGACTGATAATCACCTATAATATGTTTTATCTTTCTTATTATCACAAAATAGTTACTTGATTTATGTACAATAAATCAAACAAATGAGCATCTTTTGTCGACAGTTGGCGTGCCAAGTAGAAGCGTGCGCGCTGTTCCCGTGGCGAACCAGATCTTAAGATCATCAGCACGTTCACGGCGATGGCCTCGTGCATCCAACTGCTTGTACAGGCTGTCGTTGGGAAGGTGCTCCTACACAAGCAAGCTCGCTGCGTCATCCGATCTCAAGATGGTACGCTAGAGTTTCACCATGATTACGTACCCGGGTCATGCTCATGGCCACAACGTGCATCGGCGTCCAGTCGCCGAGATCCAATCAAGGTCACGTCAATTTACAGAGCCAAGCTAGACCTACATGCAAGCTGGCCTCGTTTAGTTGCCTGAATCGGCGCCGCCAAAATCACTGTAGCGGTACTGTAGCGTTTTGTTTGTATTTAGTAATAATTGTCCAATCGTTGACTAATTAGACTCAAAACGTTCGTCTCGCAAAGTACAACCAAACTGTGCAATTAATTTTTGATTTCGTCAACATTTAGTGCTACATGCATGTACCGCAAGTTTGATGTGACGAGGAATCTTCTTTTTGCATATTGTCAAAGTTTGGATTTTGGGGTGAACTAAACAACCCCTAACTACAACGAAGCTATTGCCAAGGGAAGACATACGGCCTATAGCTACATTGACGCGACCTCCTCATGGGCGTCTTCTCCGACTTCACCGACTCGCCGAGGACTTGACGGCGTGACTGTGTGACGTTCCTACTACGAAACGCATCCGCACGGCCTACTCCGGTTCGATTGGACATGCATGAGAGCAAAATCTAAATCAAGCACATGTCGTCAAACTGGACTATGCAAGATGACATGAGGCAAGCAAACAGGAGGACATACGTATCTACACGACATGCAAGTTAATTAAGTCAGGCTTGCGTGCCACACATACATCACACATGGTTTACCGGCTGATGGAAAGGCTCGGGTCGGGCACGGGTCGGATCGTTGGCTATCAAGCGAGCCACGTCGAGCCGCCAATAAGCCGCTCGAGCCATCGAGCGAGCCGTCTACTTGACATCATTCAACGCCGACTACTCCGCCATGCAGCATCGTTTCTCCGACCAGTCAACGATCTCCCCGAATCTGATCTGCCCAAGGCCGATCAGCGGTATAAGGACGACGTCACCCGGACTACTCGCTTCGACCACCTGCCGTGCCGCAACGATGATCGCCGCATAGAACTGTGCTATGACGACCGCGACCGCCGCCATGACGACAGTTCGGAAAGCTCGAGCGCCGGGCAACTTCGTCAACGCTGACCAGATAACGCCATACATCACCGACCAGACGTTCTGTCTAAAGCTAAGCCACGCTTTAATATTTTTTAAAATTTTCTCCAATCTCAATCTTCGTATATCGCCATAATGTTTCTCCGAGCTGTTTTCTCCATATTTGCTCTCCAAATGATTTTCTTTCCTGTATACCATCTTAAAGATGACATACAACTAAGTCTAAGGCGAACCCCCAAACAGTCATGTTGACGCTCGGATGTCCCCAGAGACGGCCCTGTCTTCGACTCCGCCCTACACGTGCATGAGTGTCTGCCCTCTGCGTTATGGATGGTCGGCAGCGGCTCCTTAGCGACGCTTTGTTCTTCCTACACGCACACGGGCTCCGCGCTCAGCGTTATGGTTAACAGGCTAGCTAGGGCTGGAGATTCAGCTACACACTAACTGGTCGGGTGGTTTGTATTAAATATAAATACATCTTCAGAATAACACTAAGTGTTCACACCAACTGATCGTCGAGCTGCATACGCTATTTCATCACCATTGCTGATTCTTGTCTGGAGTTTATATATTTTTACATCATGTACTATCCGTTCTATATATTTGTATTACAGGATCATTGTCTAGTTGATTGGACCACCTGGTGCTCGGAATTCTCCACCGATCAACTGGTCAAACCGCAAGTGTCGGGTTCATAAACCCGGGGTCCCTCATGGACCGGCTTCCCAGCGAAGGCTCGGCCCAGCGGACGACGTTGCGAACGACGTGCAAAACTCCCGAGCCGGCCCAAATACCTAAACGACAAGGACGATCCAATCTCCGACCAGAAGGCCCGGCCGAGGAGGAATGGCGCCCGCTTTTGACTCCAGCCCGCCTCTTCGACCGAAAGGCCTCACTAAGGAGGAACAACGCTCGCTTCTGGCTCTGGCCCACCTCCGAACGGCCTCTCCGACCAAAAGGCTTGGCCAAGCACTATTTCCAACTCTGACCTGTGTCTCCGACTGGGGATGCACCGAACCCCTGCTTACAACTCTTCTTCGACTAGCGCAATCAGAGCCGACTGGGACCAACCGACCGGGGACACCCGCTCAGTAAGGACCAGGAAACAGATGGAGAAAGTAAGGCAGGGCACTCAAGTCAACCGCAATACCGAGGACCGTACCTTGTACATCTGCAGGACAGTACCCTACAACCTTCCTAGCATGTCAGAACCCAAACAGTGTTGTGGGCGCCGACATTTTCCTTACAGTGTTGTGGGCGCCATCAACTCCCATACTAGACAAACACGGTAAGGCTCCCCCCACATGCCTCTAGGCATTAACAGTGTTGTGGGCACCGACATTTACCATACTAGGCAAACATGGTAAGACCCCCTACATACCTCTGGGCATCAACAGTATGGTAGGCACCGACGTCTGCCATACCAAAAGAAGACGACGCAACCTCCCACATGCATCTGACATTTAGTGTTATGGGTGCCTACAATCATCTTGTACCCGACGGCGTGGGCAACAAGACTTAGCATATGTACACTCTCTCTCTCACTTATAAAGCCATCCCCTTCATATATAAAAGGGGATGCGCCCTCTCCCAAAAATGGAGATCGATCAGTTCACTCACACACTACAACGGAACCACTAGGTTTAAACCTCGAGCACACGCTCGAACACTTAGCACATAGCAAAGCTCCCGTCACTCTCGGCCCTTTAGACCAGAGTCCGACCAGACCTCTTGCACCCCCATCTTTCTCCTTTCCGTTTGTAGCCCCACAGCAAACTTCGAGCACCTGGGCTCAGGAATAAAGTCACCAACCGACTCAAACTGGACGTAGGGCACGTTGCCTGAACCAGTATAAACCCTGTGTCGTTGAGTGCTAGGCCACATCCGATCACAACGTACAGCAAAACTATAAATATTTACGTGTTGGTCAC